CACAGATGCCCTTTCTGTGAGCATCAAATGCCTTTGGTGTAATTAGGTGAGCTTCGGTGCTGACACTGGTGGTCTGTAGCTTAATTACAGACACACAGAGGGCAGAAGAGGGCATGCAATTCAGAGTTGGCATTTGGATCTTAATCGGTGTTAATGAAAGCAGAACTTCTAAAGCTCCCATCTTTACAGAAGAAGGAGCTCCAATCATCTTTATTCAAACTGTTCAGAAACAAAGCAAAGTATATCTGTCCCAATTAATTTTGCATAAAAATAAGAGATTTGCACATATCAAAAAATAGGAATGGAATGTCCTCCATAAGCACATTCTCTGAGACCACCACCCCTATCCTTTCAGTACAGTTTATTGAAGAAAAGCTAATCCTAGTGGGAGAGCAGCAGGTGAAGAGAGAAGAAATGGAGGTAATAGGTTAAAGGGACAGATTTACTACACCTCAGATTGGTTTGTGTGCTTGCTAAATTAATGACTAGCAATAGGAAATGTCTATGCTCAGTCACAATGTCCCCTCTCAATCCTCCCCTGCCAACTCCTCTTTCTCCTTCTCTCTATCTTTATTTTAATAGAGAGAAAGTATTGTGTCTAGAAGAGGCTCATCTTCCTACAAGCTGTTAACCAAAACACCAGAAGCAGGCTGATGAGTTCCCTTCAATCTCCCCCAATTTTCTTTCCTCTCTCTCCTTCCTTGTCCACATATATCCCAATACTTTAAAAGTTAATGAACAACTTGTGAGAATAGTAATTTTAAACATAATTTCAGAGTCAAAAGCTCAAAATCATGTTTTTTTTTTCCTTCAGCAGTGTAGGCTTCCTTGAATTTAGAGAAAGCATTTCTGTGTGGGTGTGACATGAACATTTGTATAGACAGAGAGGAAGTTAGATAAATACAGGCAATAAATCACCTGCTAATACAAATTAAAAATCTCTACCTCCTAAAATAAAGAGAAGTCCACTTCTGCAAGGAAAAGTGGGCAAAGTCCACCTACCGTGAGCTCCTTGGGGTGGTGGTGGTGAAGAGTAACTATTACTTAGGGCAATGGGAGGCTTGTTAGAAGCTAATGATTTCTTTTCTCATTTATTTGATCCGAACTCCATGATCTCTCACTCTGTCAGAGCACTCTCTGAGAGTAGCATGGAGGGAATCAGCTTAGTCTATGTCACTTATTCTCCAATCACAATGCCAAATGCTGCAACGCATTAACTGACATATTTATTTTTAAAGGAGTGTCTGGCAACATACAAAGAAACGAACAGAGCAAAACTTAGCTCAGTTTAAAGTGTAGAGGCTGACAGGCAATCGAAGTTTTATGTAAGTTTAATATAGATTAGTCTGTTTTCAGGCCATGAATTTTTTTCAGCTCTAGTACATGTGCTGCTTATTAATGAATCCAATCTATTAAACTTGGAGCACATAAGACTTTTCTCCTTTTCCTTCTGAATGAAATTCACTGCGTTTAATTCACATTGATCTGTAGCTTCATATCTCGGATGAAAAAATGTGATGAGGAAATTTTGAAAATGAATTTGCATTCCTGCATCTTACCTGTGGTTTGCTTGCTACAACAGCTAATCTTCATTGAGAGTTTTGCTGGGTTTAGAATTCTGTGGAAACTGTCTCTGATTGCACCTGGGACAGTGTTTCTAGAAAGGGATAACATAAGAGAGAAGACCTGTCTTGGATGTATATAGAGCTATCTCATATCTTTGGGTCTCAGGCTGAATACAAAGGAGACAGCTAGGGGAGAGTAGCTGCCTTCTTGCTCTGAATTCCAAGTAAAGTCCCGATGTGACCAGCTACCTTATCCTTCAGTTGTCACATGTCGAGTGTATTTCCCTGAACTGTTAATTAGAAGAACGTCTCCTGTCCTAGGATTCTTCTTGTTCATAGTCAATGAAATATAATTTACACTGAATAGATTCTTTTATTCCATGTACAGAAATTACCTTAATACAGTAACAAACCAGCTAACCAGAGAATAGTGTGACATGGAGCCTGTATGAATGAAAACTGACTGATAACTTGACAAACAACATTCACATCACTAGACTCTGCAAACTGCACAGTGACAGCCAACTGTGAAAAAGAAATGGTGGCAAGTCAAGGTCACAACTAAGGATGCAAGTTAACCATAGTGGTACATGCAATTTTGTTAAAATTAGAGATTCACAAAGGGGTACTGAAGTTCATTGCTTCTATTTTTATTTCTCCCTTGTTTCAGTAATTTTATTCAGTGCTGATTTCACTAGAATTTAGTTACAATGCAGAAAACTTCTAAGGATTCCTGTCCCCTGCTTATGTGGACTGCTACATAAGAGTAATTCATTTCTGTCAAGTGCCCCTAACAAGTTCATATCTATAACTGTTTTCTACCAACTATCTACTTATTTTCTGCCCATCTTTGTATCTAACTACTTATTTTATCTCCACGTGAATATCTAATTATTACTACCCTTGTGTATGTTATAATGGCAAAATAGTGTTACATCAAAAGGTAAAGTGTATTAGTCTAAGGAAAATGTAGTACATCAATCAACCCACAGTTAATGAAATATTATTTGTTAAGGGAAACCTTTTCCTTGAGAGAAGCCTTTCTGCCAGCCTGGTTCTAGAGCCGCATCAGTCCCAAATAAACACACAGGAGGCTATATTAATTATGAAGCTGTTGGCCTTGCTTGTTTCTTACTGGCTAGCTCTGACTTAAGAAATTACCCCATAATTGTTAATCTAAGTATGTCTCTTACCGGAGAATGGTTCCGGGCTTCCTACCCCCATGGCATTACATCTTGACTCTCTTGTGTTTCTCCTTCCCAGAATCCTCCTGGACTCCTAGTCCCACCTATCTAAATTCCTATTGGCCAGACAGTGCTTTATTAACATAAGACTTCCCCAACAATTATTTATATTGAAAATATATCCATATGTCTGTATGTATATAGTACAAAGTAATAACCAACCAAATAAGCAGGGAATAGCATGATATAGAATGTTCATTGTAAGTATAAAACATTTCAAATCCTAACTTTTATAGAAATTATTAATGAAGGTAAAAGCATAGAAAATTTTAAATGCTTACTATCTTGATTTTAGAATGCAAAATTAACATTGTCCTTCAAAGAATATCTGGCAGTGTTTAAAGAGATAGCTCAACACTCATTGACGTGAAATTATTTCATATCAAAAGCAAAAACTTTTCAGTCCAAATACTATCTCCTCTATTGGAGAAAAGCTTCAGTTATGTGGTCATGAAAACAACTGTCTGTTATTCTGGAATCATCAAACAAAGCTGAGTGCTAGGAAATTGCCTTCCAATCCTCCGTATTAATGTGTTAGGATATTTTACTTAGATATTTATTATCAATTATTTGATTCAAATGTTCCAGTTTCTACTTGAGAATAATACGTCCGTATATCCATATTTATTACCTTAAAAGCATGGTTTCTGACTTTAACACAAAAGATAGTGTCAATCAAACAAGATCATGAACTATTTTGGAGGGGGCAGTAGAGTGTAGAGACAGGAAAAACTCATTTATTCATTTTCCTCTCTGAACTTTTTTTTTAAATACCACATTCTTATGATATAGCCCTGGCTTATTTGGAACTCACTTTGAAGAACAAGCTAGCCTCAAACGTGCATAGATCTTTCTCCCTCTACTGCCTGAGTGCCTGTGGGCCATCACACCTGGTCCTTTTTTTCTGTCTGTTTTTCTCATACCAAGTGGGTATTTGCTTGGGGGGTGAGACTGGAACATTCTAGACAAGTCTTAGTACTAACCTATTTTCCTGTTACCTTTTTCTGATTTCTGACCTCCTCAGGATAGTTTCATTTGTGTTCCTTGACCTTCAGTTTTTAATATCTTAAATATTTTCTGATCTAAATAGGTAACACTGAAAAAAAAAACTGCCTTAAGTACAAGCATCAAGTCAGCCATAAATTTAAATGACCATTTAAAGTATAAAATGAATAAAATCCTTCCAACTTCTTTTCCTTGAAGAACATATATTTAATCATTTCTTGGGTGATCAAATTTATTCATCCCTATGAAACTCTGGCAAAAAAATAAGGCTAGAAAAACACATTATTTCACTTTGCTTGTAATGTAGTTTTTGTGTAGCAAAGCAATTAGTGCTGTTAATAAATACAAGACTAAATGTAAAGGATGAAAAAAAGAGCAACAAAATGAAACAAAAACACCAAGCTATGGCTTAAATAGTTACGCATTCCCTTGGTATTTTACTGGGTGCCTACCTCATTCAAACCTGTTGTGTGTTTTCAGCTGTGCATTTCAGTACTATACTTATGTTTCTTCATCCAGGGAGCATACTCTATATGAAGGGCACCAGTGATCATTTAAGACAAAAGAGAAAGAATAGGAAAGGCAATGGCAGGTTTTCTGTGGCTGCACATCAGTTGTCTGATACCTTTCCTGTCCCTTCACTCAGCAAACCATTCCCATATTGGTTAGCTGGTCACCGGGAAAACCACGGAGACATCCTGTTTATATTCTACCCCTTTTATGTTGCTCCTCCCCAATGGGTCTCTCTGATAAGATGTTGGCTACATCTGAAAGCTTCAGTGGGTAAGTCTGTGAAGCATTTTAGTACCAAGCCTGAAACCAGTTCCTGACCAGATGCTTAATCCTAGGAAGAATAAAAGACATCGAAAAAGAAGTACTTTCTAAAGCAGCACAACATTCAGTTTTCCGTTTTCCACCATGTGCTTTGTTTCAGTCAACATCTTCTGCCAAATTTGGTCCTCATCCATCACGATGATTTTAGGAATCATTTTATAGCATGTATGTATAAAATGATAGCTTTAAAGGAGTAATGGTGAATCTCAGAATTCCTACTGTGCCCTGAGACAGTTGATAAGTGGAAACAAAGGGAAAGCAATTGATGCAAACACACAGCAATTTACACAACTCCTTCAAGGAAGGAAGCCATTGGCAGCCAGTGTGGCCTCTTCATTGTAAAGCTACTTGCCTTGCAAGCTGTAGATTTCTCCGACGCTGTTCTGACGGGTAATGTGATGCCAGTATGCACTACGCGGAAGAGAGATGGATTTCGATAACGTCATTGGTTCAGTCAGGCTTGTCTGAAGCTAAAAGAGAAGCAAAATGTATCTTAGGCCTTCTTGGAGATATCAAGCTCAAATCAGCCTCTAAAATGCCAAGAATTGAATGAGAGTGACAGAAAGCAGAATATGTGAAAGATATCCATATAATTCCCCATTCAATGATAACTGTGTCAAAAGTGAAATTGCCCCTGACAGGTTTCCCATGCTCCAGTGGGACAGCCCCACAGATGTGCACATATAGACAGCTCTAACTAGACTTAGTGGGAGAGAGAGAGAGACAGAGAGACACAGAGACACAGAGAGAGACAGAGACAGAGACAGAGAGAGACAGAGGGAGTGCGGGAGGCAGGGAGGCAGGGAGGGAGGGACAGATATGGGCAGACAAGGTGGGAGGGTGGGTGCATGGGGATGGGGGTGAACATTGGAAAAGGGCAATCACTCAATGGGTACAAGAGCTTAAAAGTCAGTTGGCCAGGTGCATTCCTGTAACCCCAGTGCTGCAGGGATGAACACTTGAACAAATCATGTGCATTTGTCTGTTCATATGTGAGTGTACAGCAGGTCCTGTCTCAAGGGGATAAGTTGGAGTGTGATAAAACAGGAAACCTGATGGTCCTTTGATTTCCATACACAGGAGCTCACCTGTCATACATGTGCGTACACCACACACATGCCACTATTATATATTAAAACACACATCAAAAAGGAAAAGAAAAAATACACATTCTTAATTTGTTAGGAATGAAATCTGCCTTGTTACAAGAGGCACTAATGATCTCAGTGGCTTCTTGCCAATGGAGAAAGAACAATGGCAAAATACCCAGGGGAGAATCAGTCGCAGGCCACCTTGGGAACTGGTTTGCACTTCAGTAGTTGAGAAGTATTTACATTGCCCACAGTGTTTTGCAATGTATGGAATGGAGAAATGATTGAAGGAATGAAAGAGTAAGCTGTCACAGTGGCATGCCCTAGAAAAGGTACCAAACACAAAAGAGCCATTTTCAGACTTTTCCTAACACCTACTCCTACCTTTGTGCAGGGCTGCTTTTCTTTAATGCATTATTTTCTTTCACATACTGAATGAATATTCTGAGAATCTCCGTGATAAGAGAGCTAAATGTGTTTGTATTTTTAATGAACTGTTTTGAGGTTAACCGATTACATCATTCTCCAGAGATATGATTAACACACGCGAGCGCGCGCGCACACACACACACACAGATTAGCAATTAAAACAAGAAATTTATTTATATTGTTTAAAAAATACAGAAGTGGTTTGACTTGATCTTTATTACTTTAACACAATGTATAAACAGACCTCTTAGCTACTGCCTTCCCAAAAGCTAAGAATGCCATCAGATAACTTCTGAGCCCCACATCAGAGTTGTCTCTGCTTCACTGCAACTTTTCCACTTGACATTACCATTGCTGTATTTGGAAAATGCCTCAATTTATGCTTTTCTTTGTTCTGTTGGTATGAAATTTTCATGAAATGCTGTCACATTGCAACATTTAGAATAATCTGAATTTTCTGTCTTGTACAAGATCAACACACTTGGTTTATATGAAAGGCCTGCTGCCAGAGCAACTTTGCAGCTGACCCTTAAGTATCTCCAATGATACATTTCAAGTTCTCTTCCCTACTTACACAATATGCATGCTTCCCACACCCATAATGCATATACATTGGTATGTGTAGGAATGTGAAGGAAACAGATTTTGTTTGCTGTGTTGATATTAAGTAGGGCTGTCTGTATCTACAGCATCCTTGTTATGAATGCCCCAGCCCTGACAGCTGGAAACAGCTTTGTATGGGGCTATCCATGTTTAGACACCATCAATATGCCCACATAGATAAACTTCATCTCCCACTATTGTATAGAAGTAGACGCAGGTTTCATTCTATGGTGCTGTTACTGAGAGAGGAAGCCAACTTCTCATATGGAACATAGAGTTGATTAAACACATAAATCTTTATTTAATTCATGTCAGCAATGCCCATTAATAACATCAACTAAAGTGAATTCATACTAATCACAGTTCTGTTTATTATCTGATCTTTATTATTTTCTTAATCTAACCTAATTTATTATTTTTCATAAAATAGAGATTTCTGAAATTTAATGAAAGTCATTTTCCTTCTGTAGTTTAATTTTGGTAAATACTTTTTTTATACCAGATAGTATAGAAACATAATAGGTATATGGTAACTGTTGAAAATAAAAACCAGGAAACCAGCAGAAAATTCCCCCCTTACACATCTGAGGCATCACCCCTCTTGTTGCTATAGTTCTCCTTGTCCTTGCTGTCAATGCCTTTGGCTATATTCAGTTTCTTCATTCCTTTGCTTTCACTTTAGTTACTTTCTATTCACTTGTGGAAAGAGAGACATCTGTACTGTAAAAATTGGTTATGGATTTTTCTTGACCTGTTTACCTGTGTTTTCCTGCACTACATCATAGTGTCACTCGCCATTCATACCTATATAAAGCACTGTCATGGAGTGAATTATGTCATCACCAGATACACTGAAGTTTAAGATCCTGGTGTGATTCAAGAAAAGAGAGAGAGGAAAGTTATACAAAGTGACTATTTAAGGTTAAAAGAAGACAGTGGGGTACAACCCTAGTCCAAGAAGACAATGGCCTCATAAAAAAAGGAGGAGACTGCAGGGAATAACAGTCGTGTGAAAAACAGGCCATGGATGACACAAGTAGAAAACAGACATTTACAAAGCAAGCATTGAGGCATCAGAAAAAAAATGTAAACCTGTTCAGTGTTGATTTCTAACTTTCAGACTACAGAATTGTGAAAAAGTAAAGCCACCCACTGTACAGTATGTATTACAGCCATATCAGACTAATATAGGAGACTTTTAAGTAATCTAACAAGGAAGATGTCCACTCTCAAATCTGATCTGTCCTGTAATTTTTAATTTTCTTGTTACCTATAAACAATGCATTGAAAAAGCCTTTGAATAGTCATATTGGATAAAATATTATTTGTAGTAGAAAGATAGAAAGAAACATGCACATTTGCATAAATATGTAAAATAAAATTGTGAGACCATTTGTACAAACCCACACTTGGATTTTCTATTGCTTGGATTCAACATTGTGAATAGAAGCATCTTGGGAAGGAAAGGGTTTATTTCATTTTACAATTCTTCATTACTGAGATAAGTTAGGGCAGTCACTCCATGCAGGAACTGAAGCAGAAGCCACGGAGCCACACTGCTTACTGATTTGCTATCCATGGTTTTTTTAGGCTGTTTTTGTGTACAACTTAGTACCACCTGTCTAGGGGCATGGTCACTGTCAGTGACATCCTAGGGTAGGCACCCTCACATCCATCATTTATCAAAAAAATGTCATACAAACTTGGCTGTAGGTAATCTGATGAAGACTTTCTCAATTGAGGTTTTTTGGTTTGTTTTATATTTAATGCTAGCTGTGTCTAGTTGAAAAAAAGGATACCTTGTTTTATTATTGTGTTTTAATAAATGAAACAAGGATTGATTCGTGTTTTCTAGTTCCTTCTTTTGGGAGAATCTGCTATATTGATTATGTGTGTGGGTGTGTTTTTCTAGTGAGAAATTGTTTAAGAAACCAAACAAATCCTGGACCTTTGTGCCAGCCTCTCTGAGTGCTTATCCACTAACTCTCCTGCAGGCAGCACTGACCTGCTTTCCATTTTGCAGGTTAGCATTAGGCAGGGTTAGGAGTTAGAAAGGATGCTTCAGCACAAGTGCAGAAATCAGTTCGACAGGGGGACAGTTAACTCAACCCTTGAAACACTTGCCAGTGCTTCCTGTCACCTCCTTTTTGTTGTAGCCACTTGAAATAACATTTAGTTCACTGGAAGGCTGAGCAATGAACCAGGAAATGCTTATTTCGTGTCTGAAAAGAGTGCAGGTCACAGCTCCACCAAGTGTGAAGAGTAGTCGTGATGTCTGTGTCCTACCAGAGAGTAATGCCCACAGAGGCAAAGTCAAACAACATGGCTAAGGCCCAAAGTGCTCAATGCACAGATGAAGCCGATGCCTCTGTGGGCAAGCTGCCTTAGATATTATTTGGGCAATCAATTAAAGAAGTTTTTATTTGTATATATTTGAGATTCATATATAGCTAATATAAAACCAGATCCCAGTACCATTTGCAAAAACAGAGCAATCAAAGGAATGACATCGGAGGTGAGGACACATATTTGGTCTAAGCCAAGGTGATCTATAGAAGTACAAATCTAAGAAATATAAAGAGAAGGAATATTTGATCAGTGTGGGCAGGTAGGGAGAGGTAGAAGAGATATAACAGAGCTAAACATCTGTGTATATTCATGAGCGTGCCTGCCATGTATATGAGTGTCTGTGTGTACATGTGTACATGTGAATTACTCAAACTAAAACAAAAAAGGATAGTATCTTTCTTTCTGTTGATAGGAAGAAATCCCTGATAAAACCAACTTAGGGGAGGAAAGGTTGGCTTACAGTTAAAAGATACAAACACCATGGTGAGAAATTCAAGCAAGCCTGAGCTCAGCTGCCACATCACAATCATAGTCGGGAGGAGAGAGAGAGCAGTGAATGCCTTCTTTCTTTATTAATACAGTTCAGGGTCTCAGGCAGGGAATGGTGACCCCAACAGTGGGTGGGGCTTCTGCCTTGAATGTAAAATCTCCCATAGCCTTATCTCTCAGGTGATTCAGATCTGTCTAAATAACAATTAATACTAACCATCACATCAATGTAAAGAGTTAAATGCTTCATGGAATATAAGCAAACATTTTTGTTGATATGTCTGAGACAGGAGAGAATGGATAAGAATATATGCTATAAAAAGAAAAAAAACACTATTACAGTGGGACCAGGATTTACCCCTAGTGCTTGAACTGGCTTTGTGGAGCCCATTCTCTTTGGAGGGATATCTTGCTCAGCCTAGATATAGAGGGGAGGGCCTTGGTCCTGCCTCAAAGTGAAGTACCAGGCTTCATTGACTCCCCATGGGAAGACTTACTCTCTCTGAGAA